AAAAACTGTCAACCTGGTACTCAACAGATGCATAAAACAGTTCTTGTTTGGAAAATATTTATTTTATTTTATGAAAATATTTTGTTAAAAAAAAAGTTTAAAAATATACCTGAAATAGTTTCAAAAATATATATGAAATATCTTAAATGAAAATAAATAATATTTTTAAAATCAGCATAAAGTTATGCATCTTTTGAGTATGCAGTTGACATTGTTCTAAAAAAATGTTTTTCACTATTATTAGTACCCATGATTTATTATTACATTATTATTTCAAATATTTGTGGCCAAGAAGAAACTTGAAGAACTCATCTAAATCAGGCTTGGTCAGGAAGCGGTAGCGATCGCTTTTGATTACTGACCACGGAAATAATATTTAGTTGCAAAAAACTGGCCAGATTTTTTAGTCATTTTAAGAACATTTCAAAAAGCAAAAAAAAAAAAATGCCCAAAAGATTAATTGGATCAATGAGAGATAATGACAAAAAAAACAAACAAATATCTTTTAACGCAAAAAAATTTAAAGCAAAATAAATTACATTTAGAACAAATATTTTCGAAACATCACTCTTTTATAATTTTTTTATAAAATTAAGCAACGTTTCTTATATAAAGTAACATCTTACGATTGTTTGAAAAGGAAACAAATGTTCTTTATTTAACTCGCGTATTATTTCCAGTGCCAGATAATAGCCCCAGGCCCCGCAATGTTAGGGCCCCAAAAAAGTCAAGAAGACCTTTTTGTTTAGTCATTTTTATGCTGTGGCACATACAAAGGTATCCAAAATAAAATTAGCCCCTGGCCCCGAAAAGTCTAACAAGATTCTAATAATACTAACGCAAGTTTTAGTTTTATCTAAGCTAAATTATTTTATAAATAAAAAAGTTAATTTTTTAATAACTATTTTATGTTTTGCATAGTTTGAAAAGTTTAACATATTTGAAACAATTCTTAGTAAGAAATAATTAAAAAAAAACAAACAATTCTTAGTAAGAAATAATTAAATCATTGAATTACTATAGAAATTAAATAAACTAGGTAGAAATCAACTAAAAAGGTTAAAAATACTTCATGACGAGAAAGCGAAACTGCTTCACAATATAGCTGATGATGTTTTGTGAGTGGGCTTTTTAATTATAATTAGTATTTAAAGCAGAAAAAAGTGTAACGATTTTTGAAGCTGAAGCGAAAATAATTAGAGTTAGTAAACCAATATCTAGAAACTTTTCTTTATATCTAATAAGTTTCTATATATATATTTGTGTTCTGTCGTGACCTAAGTTACTTTGCATTGTTTGTGTATAGTAACCCAAAACATCTTATATGTTTGTTACATAATTAGTCTTATTAACTTTCATGATTAATTATTAATTAATAACTTTATTGAATAATTAATAACTTTATTGAAAAAAGTCTTTGTTTACAAATTAAATCATAAAAATTGCTTTAAAAGATTACATAACGATAAAAAACAGATGAACAAAATTACATTTACATAAAAAATACGTACTTTTTAAATAAAAAATAAGAATATACTAATAAAATCTATAATTTATTATAAGTTTTCAAAATTTTGACAATTAAAAAAATATATACTATAAAATATTTGTTTTTGTAAACAATAATAGTTTAAAAAATTTACAGCTTTGCAGGTGTGGCTCCGAGGATGAGCTGTAGTATTGATAATATATTCTTAAAACAATTTATGCTAGAAATCTCAAAACATAACAAATCGTGAATAATACAATTTCTAAAACATTTCAACAGTATACACTAGAACTTTATTTCGCTTAGTCAGTGTATTTTTTGAACCAATAGAATTAGTTTGTTTGTAAATTTGGCAGGTTTTTAGTATTCGCGAATATTCTTTTTATTATTCCGCAACAAGATGTTTTGAAAACATTCAAGTTTATTATGTTTTCATGTATGTCCATAAAACAAAAATGTTTTGTTACATATATAAAGTTAAATATTCTCAAAACGACTAAAAAATCTGGCCAGTTTTTTGCAACTAAACATAATTTCCGTGGTCAGTATTCCAGAGCAATCGCTCCTGCTTCCTGACCAAGCATGCTAAATCCAAAAACATTTTTACATTTTTATGTTATAACTAATAGAACACCATTCACGTCTCAGGAATGTTTATTTTTAAAATTTTTTGCTATGAAAATTGCTCCACCTTAATGTATAGTATACTTGTGTGTTAAATAGCCTATATACAGCTCAATTACAACTCTAGCCACAACATATGACTTTTCCAAAAAGAAAATCAGCCAGAACATTTATATTCTGATTTAAACTCTGTATACATGAGTATAAATATTTATTTTTGTAAATATAATATATAAGTATGGTTATTGCTGTCTGAAATCATCTTTTTTAAAACCAAATCAACATCATTATAATAAATCAACATATATTTTATTTGACAACATCATTATAAAAAAAAGTTTACCATTTAAGTTTCATATCACTGGATTTGTGAGATAATAATAAATTATCAATAGATGCATGATTTGAGCCTTATCACCTAATCATATAGAACATTTATGTGGGTAATAGTAAATATGGTTTGTTAATATAGTGGTAAAAGTTAAAAGCCCCTTAAAGTATATTGAAATTGTTTAATTTAAGTTTATTAAAGTATTTAATTATTATTGTTAATTAATTAAGGCTAAGACTTTAGGGGTAAGCAGAAAAATTCTGCTAACCAGCCTCGAACCCCTTCTTCATCTATAAGGCTGGCGTAGATGTAACCTGTGTTACATTGTTTCCTGCCTAGGATGATGAATGCTGGATCTCCTTGTCTCTCTCCCAAATCATGACCAAAGTAACCAAAAGTTTTAAACCTAAAAAACCATCCCCACCACCTAAATGTTTTAATATATCTTTTAGAAATATTCGCGGTCTGCGAAACAACTTTCCGTCTTTGCCCATCACACTGAATGGCTTAGCTCTAACACCACTGATCCTGCTGGCACTAAAGCTTTTAACTTCTGCGTTTCTCAATCTCTTACTCAGATAGTTAACTTTGTGACTCGTTTTCCTGACAACTCTAATCATTTACCTTCACTCCTTGACTTATGTCTTGTCTCTGACCCTAGCTTATGTTCAGTTTCTCCCTTTTTTCCCTTATGGGGTTCTGACCATGCAATGATCTCTATAAATCTTTCTTCTCGTACTTCTTTTTTGGGCTCACCTTATCATCGCACCACCTACTACTACCCTAAAGCTGACTGGGATTCTTTTCGTGATTTTCTTTGTGATGGTCCTAGGGCTGATGTTTTTTTTCTCTCAGCTGATAAATGCGCCTCCTACGTAACCTCCTGGATTCAGGCTGGAATGGAAGCTTTTATTTCTTCTCGTCGGTTTCAAGTCAAGCCTCATTCTACTCCATGGTTTTCTCCTTCTTATGCGGCTGCTACATCCAATCGTAATCATTTTTTTATCTTTTTCAAAAGAACAACTCTCTTGAGAACAAACGGCTATTTATTATTGCAAGAAATCGATGTAAAAAGGTGCTTTCTGATGCTCAACTCCATTATTCTCAGTTCACTAAATCTCGCATCTTATCACAGAAGTTAGACTCTAAAGACTTTTGGAAAATCTTCAACAGCATTATAAACAAGGGTAGATCTAACATTCCATCTCTCATTCATGGGACTGGTCTTATTACTTCTCCCAAGGATAAGGCAGAACTATTTGCAAAGAACTTTTCTTTTAATTCCACTCTTGAATCTTATGGACATTTTCTTCCTTCCATTCCAGTCAAATAGGTTGACCCATTGTTAGACATTCAAATCACTCCGGCTTCTGTTGCTAAAGTCATATCTCAATTAAACTCGTCTACAACTTGTGGTCCAGACAACATTCCTGTCACAGTCTTGCAGAATTGTTCTCCAGAACTTTCTTCAATTCTCTCTAAACTATTTAACATATGTTTGACTGAGTCTTGTTTTCCTGCTTGTTGGAAAATGACATCTGTGGTTCCAATATTCAAAAACTCTGGAGAAAATTCTGACCCCTCCAATTATCATCCGATCAGTCTTCTTTCTGTTATTAGCAAGGTCTTTGAGTCTTTGATCAACAAATTCCTCACATCTCATCTTGAGTCAAATAAACAACTGTCAGACAATCAATACGGTTTTTAAGACAAAAAGTCTTCTCTTTTCGATCGCCTAGAACAAGCAGCTGATCTTGAATCCGATCTCACTTCAGTAATAGATTGGGGTTCACAGTGGCTTGTGAATTTCAACTCTAACAAAACCTAGTTGTTTACTGCAAATAACTACCGTAATATGGTCAACATTCCTATATTAATGAATGGCAATCCTCTTACTGAGTCCTCCTCTTTACGTCTTCTTGGATTATTGCTTACTACTGACCTTTCATGGAAACCATATATACAATCGATTACTAAATTAGCTTCTGCTAAGGTTGCTTCTCTTTATGTTCTTTTATATTCTCTTCTCGTGCTCGCCGTTTCCTTACATCTGATTCCATTCTCTGCCTCTACAAATCTCTTATTTGTCCCTGTATGGAATACTGTTGTCATATTTGGGCTCTTTTCTACAAATACTATCATGGTCATTGCTCAAAGGAGTTATCATCTCTAGTTCCATCAACTAAAATTCATTCTCGTTTTACTCGTCATTCAGCTAAGTCTCATTCGTTTACTGTATCTGTCCCTGAATGCTCTAAAAACTTTTATTCATCTAGTTTTTTTCCCCGCACTTCAATCCTTTGGAACTCTCTCCCATCTTCATGTTTTCCTGACTCATACAACCTTTAATTTTTCAAGTCTTCTGTCAACCGTTTCCTTGCTCTATAACTCTGTTATTTTTTTTCCTAGTAACTCCCAACTTATTAGTGGTTGCTTGCAGCCTTGTTGGGAGTGAATGCAAATAAAAAAAAACAAATAATAATAATTGTTAATTATTATCCTTTATTTTTACATGATATTATTTTGAAACTTTTTAAATAAATTTATAAAATTTAGGCATGGCGTATGTACATTACAGAGGCTGAAAATAAAGCTATATCAATATCAAATTTAGTAAAACAACTTAACATGCAAACTTTACCTCAGATTAAGTTGTTGCTGATGTCTAAGAAAGATATGTATGATAAGTTCAGTGAAGTAAAATCAAGTATGGATAGTAAGTTTGATGGAAGTGCTGAAGAAGTCAACAGATTTTGGAATATTTATAAGGACAGTTTAAAAAAAGCTTCAAACTCTAGAGAAAAACTAAGTAAAATTGATTCAAAGAGTAAGTGTTTATATATTTTATTAAAGTGAGGAATTTATGGAGATTGTATTGAATGTTGAATAAAATATATGGTGTAATTGTATATTTGTAACTATAATATAATTACAGATAAACAATTTTAATACATAATATATAATTTATAATATAAATACATAATATACAATAATAATTATTCGATATATGATATCTTATTTATATAATATAAATTGCTACACGTGTATACATCTATCACAGTGGATTTAAGTCTGCTTGAAACGTTGCTGATAATGCCACTCTGATAAGCTATTAATGTTTGAAGTATACTTTGACAAACATTTAAGTAAAAAATCAATTTTAATAAAGTTCAATGTTTGTGTTAACTATGACCTTATAACTTTTGTTTTATGTAAGTAGTCAATAAAAATATTAAAACTTTAATAAATAATAATAAAATAATAGAATTTAAGTATTAAGTTAATGTGAAAAATTTAAACATGATTGAGAAAAAGTTCCATACTATTGCTTTGCTGCACATCTAGGATGTGCAGGTTGTAGACTCTCTCATAGACCCTTCATGACAAAACATGTTCAAAATAAGTGTAAAATGCATTTGTATGCTTAGTATAAAATGTTTAGTATAAAAGTTATAAAGTTTGCCTGGAAATATTTTTTATCCATTAATTTATTGTTATATGAATTTATTAAGATAATAATAATAATAATAATAATAATAATAATAATAATAATAATAATAATAATAATAATAATAATAATAATAATAATAATAATAATAATAATAATAATAATAATAATAATAATAATAGTAATAATAATAATAATAATAATAATAATAGTAATAATAGCAATAATAATAATAATAATAATAATAATAATAATAATAATAATAGTCAAATGTTAATAAATAAACCTTTTTTGAAAAATGATCTTTGTTATATTTTATACTTTGAAAGTGCAAAGTATAAAATATAAAAAGTGTTTACATAAATTAATATAATTGATATAGATTCAAAAGATTGGCAAAAAGAAAAAAAAAATTTTGATCAACATTCACAAAAGCTTCATATGACACACAATGAATATTGCTTATCTATTGCTGCAGTCAATGAACATCAAAAAGAGTACCACAAAAATCTTGTTCCTTTTTTACTCAACTTTATGCAAGATATACATGAAGAGTATGTTCAGCCATGGTTAGTTAAATTTTAATTTTTAAAATTTTAAGTTTTAAAGTTTTTAATATAACATACAGATCATACACATTTAGTGTCGTAAAGATCCTGCAGATGGGCTTTGTAAAGCCCACTGCAGGATGATAAGTGCACTGTAAAGCCCACTGCAGGATGATATTTTTAGATCCTGCAGTGGGCTTTGTAAAGTCCACTGCAGGATCTTTTTTACAAAAAAACATTTTTGTGGGATTATACCATATATGGTTGATTTGAAGGCCCATAAATATTTAAACAATGTGTTTTATAATGGCATGCAACTTAGAGTAATTAGTGTTACTTTGCATTAGAAAATGTGCTGGATTTTATCAGCATTTACATTATTGCTTAAAAATCTAATAAAGATAGATTTCAAATGCAGATCAAATGTTTATGAGAACTTTGAAAAACAAAAAAGTGCTAGATAATTTCAAATATCATGATTTCCCATTTGACTCTTGCAATCTTAATTTAACCATTGACTCTGTTTCTTTAATTTATTACAATCATTGTTTATGTGCCATTTATGTGACACAATAATAAATCTTATTTGCAATTATTTTTGAGGCCAATGATAGATGACGTTTGCATTTTATTATGCACAATAATAATAAACTAGAGCTGAAAGTTAAACACTTTAAATCAGATATTTAAAAAAATTTATTTAAGAAATTTGAGAAAGAAAAAAAATTCATTTGAGAAAAAAATTCATTTGAGAAATGAATAAAAAATTATGTTGATCATAAGAATAAAATCTTATAATTTTTTTAAAAGGCCTAACTTTCTATGATAAAAAGCTTAAAGCTCATGTGGGATTACTGTATAGCCTCTGAAGCCAGCACACCACTGCACATATTTACAAAAACTAAAACTATTTAGAATTTAGTTGTTTTAAAAGAGGTGTACCCTCACTCACTTTGTTATGCTCGTGAATTATAAAAATTGTGCAAATGATTGTTACATCTAAAATTTATAAACTTCAAAAAATAGAATTTGACATAGTATAAATATTTTCAAGTGTTTCTTTGTAATAATCTTACTGATATCAATATCTTTATTTCTAAACTAATTTTTACTTTTATATCTAAACTGTGATAAATTTGTGATAAAAATATTGATGCTAATCATCTTCTATTTCAATGCAACCACTGCTTAAATTCAATCCACAAGAAATGTTGTTATTTAAAAAATAAAAAATTCAGTTCATCAAAAAACTCTTTCATGACTTTTAGCTCTGTATTACATGCTGCAACAGTATTTTTCCTTTTAGTTCTATTTTGGATAATGAACTACGTCTTCAAACTTCAATTAACAATATATTACATTTCAATGATCTACCAATTATCTTTTCCCTCTCTCATTGCTCACAAGAATCTGATACTTTTAATTAACTTAATAATTACTTTACTTATCAGCTAAATAACAACAACGATGATGATATGAACATAATTGAAAATCCAATCAATTGTAAATACATATATATAAAAACTTTTAACTGTTCAAACATCGATTATAGTTATTTTTCTCTATTTCACTTAAACATTGCTTTATTAGTTACATATTTTGATGAATTAACTTCACTTTTATCTCTAATAAATTATGAATTTTGTATAATTGGAATTACAGAAACTAAGCTTGAATCTGATTTACTCCTAACAACTCCTATAAATCTTAGTGGATATGTTTATGAACATACTCCAACAAAAACGTCATTTTGAGGTGTTCTACTTTATATTTCTAATAAACTAATTTATAAATCTAGAAAGGATTTACTTATGTATAAACCTAATTCTTAGAGTCTGTGTTTGTTGAAATCAAAAACCCTAAAAAAGTTTAATATCATAGTAGGCTGTGTTCATTACTATCCTAACACGGATGTTAATATATTTAATGTTTCATATCTAGCTATTCTATTTGAAAAACTTGCTGTTGCAAAAAATAAAACCATCTTTATAATGGGTGATTTTAATATAGATCTTATAAAAGCAAACTCAGATAATTCAATCTCGTAGTATTTGAACACCATTGCTACTTCCTTTTATATGCTTACTGACAAGAATTACCAATCACACAAGTATTTTTATTGATAATAAATTTAGTACTTTAATTGATAATTATTTCAATCCCTGAAAAACTGCATAAACATGTTTACTCATACTGACTTCTATTTAAGGTGGCATTTTTGTTGATGATACTACCATTTATTCTTGTCATGAAAAGAAGCCAACACTCTCTGATTGCTTGGAGGGGGCATTTAAACTTAAAAAGGATCACTTCTGCTACAGCATGGGGCTCACAGTGGCTGGTGAACTTTAATTTAGTTAAAACCCATTTCATTTCAGCCGGTTGTTATCGCAATAGTTTAGATCTTCCTATTTTTATGAACAGTAATGTACTCAATGAGTCATTTATCTTTCATCGTTTAGGTTTAACTCTTATTTCTGATCTTTCTTGGAAAGCTATATATTAAATCAACTGCAAAATTAGCATCCACTAAGGTTGCATCTCTTTATTGTGCTTGACACTTTCTTACTTCAGATTCTATTGTTTATCTCTATAAATCTTAAATCGATCTTTGTATAAAATACTGTTACCATATCTTGGGCAGATCTTCCAATAATGCCCCTTCTGTTTTAAGTAAAGTCTTCAACCATTATTACATTGTTGTAATATTGTTTCTATTTCTTTTTTCTACAAGAACTACAATGGGCACTGCTCTAAAGAGCTAGCGTCTCTTGCATCACCTACTAAAGTTCATTTTTGTGTTACTCGTCATTCAATGAATCTCATCTTTTCTCTGTGACTGTTTCTAAGTGTTCCAAAAACTCTTATTTGTCTACCTCGAATATCAGTACTTTAGAATTTGCTCCCTTCTTTTTGCTTTGCTGATTCATATAATTTGCAATACTTTAAGTCATCTGTCAATTGTTATCTTGCTCTATCAACTAAATCTTTTCTTTTCCAGTAACTTCCAACTCTAATAGTGGTTGCTTGCAGCCTTGTTGGAAGCAAAGATGTTGAAAAAAAAATTCAAAACAAGCCTAATATAGTAAAACTTGTAAATGGCTGTGACTAAGTCGTATAAGTAAAAAACTTTTTTGTGGGCAAACGACACAAAAAACTGCACATGTTTTCTATTTGATGTCATTTTATTTTAAATTTTAAAAAGTTAATAGAGTTTTTATATAATGATGTAAAAAATTATTTTTTTCTTGAAAACTATATAAAACTCTTTAGTTCTTCAATTACTTAGTTAATTATTTAAAATAATTATTTTTATATTAGTAAAATGCTTTTAAATAAAGTAACAGTTACTGTTAACGGTTTAGTTTAAAGTAGAGATAAAAGTTGTATAAATTTTTATTTATATTATTTAAATATACATAAGATTATATAATTAATAAATAAAATAGTATATAAGATTTTTTTGTAATTAATCTTATTTATTTTTTAATTATTTAAATTTTATAAGTGACAACTTTAAATAACAAATGTCTCTTTAATAAACTTTATTTAAGAATCATTAAAGTTAATACACTCGATAAGATTTTGTTGAGAAGAAAAAAAGTCAAATTTTAGAATTAAAGACAGCCATTTGAATTAAATAACTTTGATCTTTACAAATGTTTTATATATTATTAAAACGGTTTTGAAGTAGCAATTCACTGTTAATGATTTCTTACGTAAAGTAATAATGTATTTTTCTTTAATCTTTAAATAAAAAAATTATTGATTTAAATTAATATACTCAAAATATAACAAGATTTTTTTGCGAATGTAAGTTAAAAATATATATATATATATACAATTTTTTATAATAATTTTATTTCTTTAGTCTTTAAATAAAAAAAAGTTATCAATTAAAGTTAAGTTAAATTATTAACAAATTAAATTAAATTATCAATTAAATGAATTTTTGTGTAACGCAGTTCCAAAAAAAAAAGCGTTATTAAAAAAAATTTCCTTGTTAAGTTGAATTATTTTTTAAAAAAATACCACAAATGCGCGATAATGTTTTCTATAAAAACAAAAGTGTTTATTTACATTTTTTTATCGATTAGTACTATTAATTTTTTATTTTTTTACTATTAATATAATTTTATATGGTGCGGAAAAAAGCAAACGGGACACTACTAGGGTGGAATGCAAGAAGCAAACTTGAGTCAAGTTTGACTTGAACTTTACATTGCAACCAATAGCGACAAAGTATGGGTTATTCCCTCAAAAAATACTCTGCCGCTATTGGTTACAAAGTAATGTTCAAGTCGAACTTGACTCAAGTTTGCTTCTTGCATTCCACCCCTAGTTTTACATTATAAAAATATAAGTAAAGATTTAAAGTTATTTATTTCAAACGTAATTATCTTATTGTTTATTATTTATTTTAGGTAAGTATTGTTTTTATTTTTTTTATTTTGTTTTAGTTATTTATTACTAAGCTATTTTTATTTTATTTTTCATTATTTTTTTAAGAAGGTTCTTTTTCTTTTTTTAAAACAAGTTTGTTTTTTTAGTTTTTAACTAAGTTAAATTTTCATTGCTTTATTAAAAATTTAAAACTGTGGTCAAATTGTCAAAACAAAATATTATTTTCGTGGTCATATCAAACCATGAAATCGCACGCCTTCCTGACCAAGCCTGATTATTATTATATTTATATTTATTATTAATCTTAATAAATAATAAGTTATTATTAATAAATTATTATTAATCTTAATTATTTAGTTATTATTTAGTTGTTATTTAAATAATTTGTGTTATTATTATTATTTTTTTAAACATATTTGCTTCGAGTAAGGCTGCAAGCAACCTCTATTAGAGTTGAAAGTTACTGAAAAAGAATGAAGAAGAAGAGATGAAGCAAGAAAACGATTAATAGATGACTTGAAAGATTGCAAATTATATGAATCAGGAAAAAACGAAAGGAGTAAGTTCCAAAGAACTGATATTTGAAAAAAAACTAAATGAATAAGAAATTTTGGAGCACCTAGGAAGTCATAGTAAAAAGATGAAACTTGTTTGAATGATAAAGAATAAATTATAGAGTAAGAAAGTTACCAGCACGATAAAGAGATGCAACCTTAGAGATGCAATGGATTTGATATATGATATATCAAGCTCACTTATTACGATGTATATATATGATATACATCGTAATAACTTATTCTCTACAAGCTCACTTATTACGATGTATATATATGATATACATCGTAATAAGTGAGCTTGTAGAGAATACCAAATTTTATCAAAGGTTTTAGAAATGTTGAGAGCAATAGCCTTTACCTCTCCACATCAAACTAATGTTCGATATGGTTATTACCATTAACAAATCAGCAGTAGAACGAGAAACTTGAAATCTATATCAATGATCAGAAAAATATAAGCTTCAAGATTCAAGATTAATTTTTTGTTACTTAAAGACTCTAAAATCTTGCTTATGATAGGAAGGAGATAGTAGTAGGAAGTTGATAGTAGTTTGACAAGTTAGATCGCTTTAGATGCAGCTTTCCAGATAGCTAGAAAACAAGACTCTGATTAGTATTTGTTAAATAATTTTGAAAGAATAGATAACAGCTCCGGAGAACACGTCTGCAAGACTATAACAGGTATGTTATCTGGACCACAAGCTGTAGATTAGCAGAATATCACTTTAGATAGAAAAGCTGGAGCTTTCTGAATGTCGAGCAATCGATCAACATGTTTGTTGGCTATATCAGGTAAGAAGTGGTTAGTGAAATCAATAGATAAGATAAATGAAAAGTTCTTAACAAACAATTTAGCTTTGTCTTTAAGTGTGGTAATAAAATCTGACCTATGCAGAATAACAGATTTGTGCTTATTATAGACACTGTTAAAGATTTTCTCTAAAACCTAATTTTTGAGATAAAATATGAGATTTTGTGATTTGAGAATAGCGGACTTTGGTATTAGATAAAACCTTTTTACAATTGTTTCTAGCAATAGTAAACAGACATCTGGAGAATTGTTTTGGCGATAGATGTGGAAGTAATGGTTAGGATTGAAAATTGCAACACCACAATGAACGGAAAACTATGGAGAAGAGAAAGGCTTGACTTGAATTCGCCGAAAGGGAATAAATAGTTCCATGCCAGCCTGAATCCAAGAAGTTACATAAGAAGCTTATTTGTCGCCGGAAGATAAAAGTTTTCAACCCAAGGGCCATCTTAAAGAAAAACATAGAAAGAGTTCCAGTCAGCTTTAAGTTTGTTGTAAGAGGTACGATGAAAGGTGTGTTCCTATAAAGAAAAATAGTAATAAAGGTTTTGAAGAGTTTCATTAATCTGTGAATCTGGAGAAACTGAGCACTGACTATGATCAGAAACAAGACGAGTAGAGAAAGATAATTATTCGGGCTTTCTGGAAAGCGATTTTAAAATTTGACCATTTCTGTTAGAGATTGAGTCACTTACACTAGAACTAAACTATTCAGTGTGATAAGCATTGAAGTCACCAACAACAACGATATTGGCAGAGGGATAAATAGAAAGAGCTTTTTCAATTTAATCAGAAATATCATAAATAGAGTGCAGTCTTGAGATAAAGGAAAGCGATATTGAACATAGAGAATGAAGATAAAGTAGATTGGTGCTAAACAACTATACTATATATACTATATATATATAGTATAGTATGTTTAGCACTATACTGTATATAGAGTATATATAGTTTAGTGCTAAACGCGCTATACTATACATACTCTATCTTAATATACTCTATCATGAAAGCACATAAAAAAATAATCTGTGCGTTCAAACCTAGTTTCCTGACATATGGTTGAATTATTATGAGTGTAAATGCCCAGGCCAAGCATGTGACTATTTAAGTCATTATGAATATGAGTTAAAGGAAAATAACCCTCAACACTAAGATCAAAAGATGAGACAGCCGAACTCAAATTAGTCTCACAAAGTGAGTAGGTCTGATAAGCTTGGCAAAAGATGAGACCATGAATATTAGTTGATGATTTAGATAGTGATGATGATGGTTTAATAGTTTTTGATACTTAATTCATTTTTTAAATTGGTTAAAGAACTCAACTCAATCCACAAATAGTGCTCAGTACACTATTTAATACTTTTAAGCAATAGCCTCATTACTTTTAATAAACCCTAAGCCATAACAAAGGGTTCCAAATGCGTCCTTGACAATTCACACCAAAAGTATGAACAGGGACAGCATTCATGCGCAACAAGGTATTGTTAGTTATACTTTACAGCTGTTGATAGAATCAGCCTCTCTGAAAGCTATCACAGAGTTTAGGAAACCTGACTACCAGCCAGCCCCAGAGCTGTAAAACTGTATTTTTGGACTGTACCCTTATTAGGAGATATTAAGACACAATAAAAGTACTGATAACAATACCCTTATTAGGAGATATTAGACAAAAGTAAAACAAATGCAATGAGTCAAAATAATCCAGCATTCAACATGAATGAAAAACAATAGAAACAATTTATTATAATTACATCTATGCCAGCTTAATAGATGAAGAAAGGGTGCGAAGCTGTTCAACAAGTAGATCCTGTTTACTCAATAAATCCTTGCCTAGGAGCCCTTCTACTTGACAAAGGCTGGATGTATTTAATGTCTTCCCAAGATGAGTATTTTTATCGAGACACTCTTTAACCTTTACTAAACTATGAACCCCAAAGCAGGGGGTGTGTTTAGTCAGAGTTTGCTTCTCCTAGCCTTTGCCTAAAAAATTGTATTCTACAAAGAAGCAGGATATGAAACAGGTTGTACTGGGTTACATGTTTCCAGTAGCAGGATAACCTGACCTGACAAAAAGTTTTATGAAATTATTAAATTATAATTTAATATTATTATAAATAAAAAATATAAATTAATTTAATTTCTTAACTGTCTTTAGGTGCCCGTTATATTCTTTGTTTACAAAACTCAATGCTGCTATTTTTTCAGCTATGTCTTTGTTGCTACTGTTTATTTCTTTGTCTTCATCATGTAGTTTAGCTAAAATTAGTGTTGTTGTTGTTATCATACAGTCATAAATAATATTATAAATATAACATAATAATATAAATATAAATAACTTATATAACTAACATAAATTTAATTATGCTTTACTTTTTGTGTACTGGTTATTCAGTACATGTGCAATTATTTACTATTTTTACAAAATATTCATTAATGGGATCACATTAACAAAAAATACAAAAACAAAATGTGCTTTTATAAAACTTATTATCTTATAATTTTTATTTATTTTATAAATAATTTTTAAGTGATAAATTGTTTTTTTTTCCTTTATTAAGGAAGGAGATTTTATTAAGCTTGCAATCAAGCACAAGTTGGTGTCGTCAAGAGTTTATAACCTCTGAGAATGAAATACAGCAAAGTATAGCTATAATAAAACCTACTGACGAATACAAAGGGTTTTTAAATTCATATAAGTATGCTTCTTTTGTTTTTATTTTATGTTTTATATATATATATATATATATATATATATATATATATATATATATATATATATATATATATATATATATATATATATATATATATATATATATATATATATATATATATATATATATATTAGGGTGGGTCATAAAATTTTTTTTTCTTGTTACAGGCTCTAAACATTGCTAATAGTTATTAATATTGATACTATCAAATATAAGAATGATTTTGATAGGTTTAAAGGGCGCAACTTTATTGGGAAAATTACCGGTACCCTAATATTTTGGAGAAAAAAAGTTTTTCAAAAGTAGGTCAACCTGGTACTCAAAAGAAGTGAAATTTTATAAAAAATTCGAAAATAATAATCGTTTTATAAAAATTATATTGCTGAAATAAAAAAAAAATAAAAAAAAATTGTTATTAAAAAACATGTAAAAATGCAATATATGAAAAAATTATTATTTTTGAAATTTTTAAAATATTTCGCTTAATTTGAGTACCTACATCACATAATTTTGAAAAACTTTTTTTTGAATAATAACAGGGCCTGCTAATTTTTCTAATTATAGTTGCGGGTGAAAGACATTGTTCAATCCATAAAAGTAAATACTTTCCTAAATTAGAACATAAAAAAACAACTTTCTAGACCTTAGCCAGGTTAGCAACTCTAAAAAAAAATTTTATGACCCACATATATATATATATATATATATATATATATATATATATATATATATATATATATATATATATATATATATATATATATATATATATATGTATATATATATATATATATATATATATATTACAATCGCATTACAATCGCAAAATATCGCACTAGGCAATTTTATTCATCACATGCACTGTGTGTGTATATATATATGTGTATATATATATATATATATATATATATATATATATATATATGTATATATATATATGTATATATATATATTTATATATATATATATATATATATATTTATATATATATATATATATATATATATATATATATATATATATATATATATATATATATATATATATATATATATATACAGTGCATGTGATGAATAAAATCGTCTAGTGCGATATTTTGCGATTGTAATGCTGAAATAGGCTATTAATGAGCGCGATTATGTGAGCCCAGCATCAAGTCTTTAAGAGCCATATTCAGAATTGGAAATTGGTTGTCATGGAGCCATCCATAAATTACGTACCCAAGTATGGGGATGGGGTCACTCAAAATGTTTTTATTTTTGGAGTTGAATTAACATGCTTGATTGCAGACATTCTAAAAAACAGAAACGTTTTTAATTTAATTTAAAGATAAATATTAGTTTGAAAAAATATATATATATATATATATATTAAGAATATTTTTTTATTTACAAAAAAATGTGTGAAAAATTAAAAACAATAAAGCAAAAGAACCTAATGTTTTTAGAAAATCTTGTGACAAAAACTTTAGATTTTTCGAGATTCGATCAAGTTTAAATTTTCTATTTTCATTGGGACCAAACGTTTTGAAAATAGTAAACATGTCATTCTATCTGTTAGCAGTAATGACTTTATAACTTTTCATTCATTGCTTGTACAAAATAAAAAACTCTTTCTAATTTAAACTGAATGCGCTAATTAAATATTATCAAGTGAATATTTTATATACTTGATTATATTTTTAATATATATATCAAAACTTATATTAATATAGTATATATTAATGTAAGTATATAGATACTTATACAAATATAATATATAAATAGAGCGTAACATTTTTTCTTTTGTTGTTTGTGAGCACGCTTCCAAAAGTTTTAATTCAAAGTTACATAACAAATATATTTGCTAAATGTGTTGTTTATTGAAACTTTAAATTTTTTATTTTATTTTATATTGCGTCTAGCTTTAACTTTTTTAATAAATAGGCTTTAATATAAGTGTAACTGATTTGAAGATACCAGTAAAAGTATTTAGTTTATTAACTTATATTTGAAAAAAAATTATTTTATATTCCAACGTTTTGATGTTTTTGAATTTTAAATATAATAGTCATTAATTAATAGAATGTGATCAAACCTGTACAAAATCGAAGCTTTAAGTGAAGTTTTAGTTTTTATGCTAGATATTTATAAGATATTTATAAATATTACGCTAGATATTTATAAATACTAAGTGAGATATAATTTTTTTAACATTAAAGTTTGGAAATTTCATTTAAGCGTTGCAAGTTTTAATATTTTAATTTTTTGATATTTTTTTGACTTTTTTCTAGTTAAGCAAATTTTTTTTGTCAAAAAAAACCTAAAAAACTACACGAGAAAAAAAAAAACACCATAGTTAGCTTTTAAATAGAAGAAATAAATCAATTTTAATTTGAACTTATATCGCATAAATTAAATTTGAAGTATGTCACGCATATATTATGCGTGATGTACTTTATTACAAATATAACTTCTTTGTTTAACAATATCCAGACTTTACTGTTTAAGCATATTTTGACTTCAGAAAAAAATTATTTAATAAAAATATTTTTTATAAAGTCAACTTATAATTTTCTTTCTTGCAAGTTGTTCAGGTGACAACTTTTTACTCTCATAACAAAACTAGTGAGTGCTATTTGTTGGGCGCGGAAGGTTGCTTATGTGTGTTTCACGTGCGTGGAGCGTTCACTCTCACTTCATTACAAGGCCTGATATATATTAGGGTGTTTTTTTTTTTTTTTTTTAAATTTAAATTTGATATTGCACCCCCTCTTATTTAGTTAGGTTCAATAAAAAATGTTTTTTTTTTTTTTGCAAACTCATGATGGGAAGTGGTCCTCCACACCTGCTTTGTAACCCCTTTAGAACCCTGTTTTTGTCTAACACACACACACACACACACACACACACACACTCACACACACACACACACACACATATATATATATATATATATATATATATATATATATATATATATATGACATGTTTCTAAAATGTATTAAATTCAGTTAGTGTCAGTGTTACATTCGTCAGTTTTACTTATTAGGGTCATAAAAATTATAAGAATGTTTATAGTGATGACCTATTTCCAGACTCTACCCTAGAAATAATAGGTCCTGGACCTGTTTTTCAAGCTCTTTTGAGACCCGTTTATTTCACAGAATAAAAAACATGGAAATCAACGTAAGATTTTGTTAAAAAAAAAAAACAATTAAAAAAGATTGAAAATGAAATAATTTAATATTGCGAATCGATAAATCATTGTTAATAACATTAATTAAAATCTAAGATGTTAAAGAAATATATAAACTAAAGAAAACAAATAAAAATTTATCTTTAGGTAGTCAGTAAAATGTGAATTTCCAATAGGTTAACTGTGAACCGGTAAAATGCAAACTTTTTTTTTGAAGCATAGTTCTATTGGTTGTTAATGATGTAATATTTTTCATTTTCTGTTTGCTGTTAAATTGTATATTGGCTCCTATTGAAATATTGGCCCCTAAACTCTTATGGGCCCTGGTGCAGTGCACCAACTGCACCCTCCTCTCATAGGGCCTGCCTTGAGCCATCCATTTTGCAGATGGTAAACCCCAGGACTGCAATTAGTTGTTGTATCATTATTTTCTCCCAAAAGGAGAAGAGCTAGTATTCCGAGTTCTTTATAATTTTCACGTGGTTGTGAAAATTATCAAGAATTTAATAATTCTTTATAATTTTTTTTCAAATTTAACACCGCATCGGATTTTAAGATGCAAGCCACTTTTTTAAACTTTGTAAGTAATCCAGTTTCGCTTTTATCACTTTCAAGTGGTTCAAACTTTGATTTTTCTATTAGCTCCCACTGGGACTTCATTCTACCAAAAAGTTCAATGTTTGGTCTTTTTGATACAAAAAACGCATCAAACACTGCATTTGCACAGATTTCAATAATATGATGTTGACAGGCTAAAAACAAAACTTTTTGATTCATTGACTTTTGTATGACAGTTATTGCCAAATAATGACTTCCTGTATTACTTGCAGTTGTGTCAAAGCAAAGACCTGCAAGATGCTCCTCAATGCCAGGTCATTCATGAATGAACTCAACTACTTTTTGTCCCATTAGAGTGCCGGTACCAGCAGGTATCTTAGGGATCCCTAATAATTTCTTAATATCCAAGCCAGATACAACAATTAGCAGACATTCACGTCTGGTTCTACCAATATTCAACATCATTTTACCATCAAAATGAGCAACTAGTGGAACCAAGAGTTGATAATTATTTCTTACTGCCCTTGCAAGAGATTCACATTTGAGCTTCCATTAGAGTGGAACGTGAAAATATTAATTTATTTACATCAATACTGATTATAGCTAGGGCTGGTGCGACAACCATCATTGCTTGTCATGGTTTTATTTTTGTTCAGTCTAATGCTGCATGAAAGAGTTAATTGTCAAGAATACAACGTTTGAATATTGTAATTTAGAGTTGACTAGTGCCCGTAGTAGAATGTGTTGAGTTATTTGGACGAGTAAAAGCTTTTTGTGTTTGAATTGACATGTCACAGTCAGAATTTTCATCCAAACGGTAATCTGAATTGTAATCCATTAATGTATCTGTAGATATAACTTTACTTTCTTAATGTTGTTTCTTAAGTGCCTTTTTGCTTCAAGCTTGTATTTTTTGTATTTTACAACTGCTTTTTTATACACGAAGTCTTCTGATGTTAATAACATCTTTTGGGGACCTCTGGTCCCCGAAATTTCTATCAGAAATTACTTATCTTTATTTATCTTGATGAGACAATCCCATTAACCATGGGCAATATCAAAAAAGTGTATTCATCTTGGCAGTGAATTTTTCTTGATAGCTATGTTGAATAGCTGATTTTCTACTTCTGTGTTTAGACACTTAAACATGTTGCTTGTGAATCTTTAGTTTAGCAACTTCACATGGCTTTGCTATAATTGGAATATTAGCCTTAAGTCAGAAAATCATAACTTTATCTGCAACTGTG